GACGTCTCCGGTGGTGGTGTTTGGGGTCCGCCAGCAGTATTACGGCGGCGGCAGCGGCAGCGGAAGCCTGGGTGGTGAGGAGAGTAAGGGCCTCAGTTAGGCGGTCGATTTTTCGCCTCGAGTGCATCCAGCCGAGTGTCAGCGTCAGGAGTAGCTCCGGAAGGCATGACAGGTGCGGGGACGACAGGAGTGGCAGAGGAGGAGGGGACAAGTGGCAGGGGCGGTGGCAGGGCGGAGTGGACTCGGACTCCGAGCCTGAGTCAGCGCCGAACCTGGCAATCTTGTCCGGTTGATCCCGTAGAGAGTTTCTTCTGCTGCAAGGGCAACCCCGGAGGCCTGAGATCAAGGTCCTAGCAGGGGAGGATCCAAAGAGTGAATAGAAGTAAGCAAATACAAGTGAGGCTGACCTAGCAGGGGAGGATCCAAAGAGAAGAAACTCTAAGGGTCCGCCTGCTAGGTAGCGGAACTATATACTGCGCTCTTGACGCGCCAAGGTTGATCGTTGCTCCGTGCAGTATGCCTGCGCCATGTCGCAGGCCAGGTCCCAGGGGGATCGCCAGGCGGGGGCGGCGATGCGCCTGACGGAGGCGGTGATGCGATCGCCGGAGTCGGAACCGGAGTCGGACCGGAATTGGAATCGTCTCCGAGGGGCCGAAAGGGAGGTTCCCCTGACACAGGTGTCCTCCACGCAGCAGGTCCCCTTCATGACGGGACATGGGACGGCTCCCGCGCATGGGCTTCGAACCCGGAGTCCATTCCGCCATGGAGTCAGTGAACGAGTTCCGCGACCGGATCGCCACTGGTATTGCTGAAGCCAAGGCCGCGCTCACTAAGGCCAAAGAGGAGTACAAGTGCTACTACGACCGGAGACGCACTCCGTCTCCGGAGTTTAAGGTTGGCGACCGTGTTTGGCTGGATGCCTCTGACATCAGGACGACTCGCCCCTCGGAAAAGTTCTCCCATCGCCGCCTCGGACCGTTCACGTGGAAACCCAATGGCCAATTGGGAAACACTGAGGAGACCAGCAGCCAAGTCAATGAGACTATGCTATATTCTGGAGATGCTGAGGGTACAGGTGCAAGAAGTAACTACTGTGACATAGACAGGTAAAGAGTGTGTAACGGGTTTACATCACGATAGTCGTGGAGATCAGCAAAGGTGCCTACAAGCTCGACCTCCCTCCGCGCTACTCAAAGCCCTGCTAGGTCAGCTTCATTTGTATTCGCTTACCAATGTTCACACTTTGGATCCTCCCCTGCTAGACCTTGATCTCAGGCCTCCGGGTTTGCCCTTACACTAGGCCGCCGCGGGCTGTGTTAACTTGTGGCTGCAACCAAGACATGAATTTTTGGCTGCGGCAGACTCACTCAAGAGTATAAGGAGGGTTTTGTCTCTACAGTCGAAGTTTAGGCTTTTCGGAATCCTTCGCACACGACACTATCAGCACCTGCCAGTCAACTGCAATGTCTTCAACTACCGCTGTTATTTCAGCCCTGTGGAACGCTCCCCCCCAGTCCCACTCTTATCCCCGAGGCAGGGCTTGCTACCCTCATGCTCCCTTGCCTTGGGCTTAATTCCTGCATTTCTGGAAGACCAAACGTGTGTTTAAAAAAGACAGCATGATTATCTAATCTTATCCTAGGCTTAGAAAATCGACGCTGAGTACTTTTTTGTTTGCATGCGATAATTGACTGGTTATAGGCACCCTGTATACCCAGTCTTTTGCAAAAGATGTGGGCCACTGCCCACCAGTCTAATGCAAAAGATGTGGGCAATTGCCCACAGGTCACAAGCCTGTAATATAAATACTAGATTAAAGAGCCAAATTGATAGCTATGACTAAGCTAATGCTATATATGGTAATAGAAGTCACTATTTCTTCAGGCCGATGATTCGGTATATAATTTGGAACAGTTTATAATACAGGGCAAGGGAATTGATGTAATCACATGTCACATTGATGGAACAGAGCCTAATAAGCAAATCAATTTATCTTCATCAAAAATGGTTCCACATCAAAAACATTATATAAAAGGCATTGATCCCATCACCTAGAAGGTGCTAGAAAGCTGTCAGGGGAAACCTTGATGCCGTCACTTGATCCCATCAAGCGCCGCGTCTCCGCTCACGTCTCCACGTCTCCACTTGCGTCTCCGTGTCTCCACCCGAGTCTCTGTATTCCTGCACCCTGACGCTCCTCCTCCACTTCTCCCACCACATCCCGCATCCAGTGGTCCCCAACCTCTAACTCCCATGGCCACCCCTTTCTGGGAGTCTCTCCGGAGTCACCATCAGGGATCACTAATGCCATCGGAGACCTCTCCGGATGTGGCCGCACCACTTTCCTCTGAGACCTCGAGCCTATGGCCTTATAGCCTCTCTGGGCTGTCGCTCATCAAGGTCTCCCTGCAACCTCTACCCGTTGGACCTCTTGGGTGTCCCCAACCTATGTCAGCGTTCGGGCTTACGTTCGGATGGCTGAGCCCCGCCATGGCTCCGCCCCCACTCCGCCACCACGGCCCCCGTCATCGGGTCTTCCTTTGGGTGAGGCCTACTGCCGTTAAGGCTCGTGCCTACTGCAGCGCCCCCAGGCTGCACGCCCTCACACCTCCACCTCTCTGGAGACGTCCGGGGACGTCTCCGAGTGACCCTCCTGTCGCTACCCTCCAGGTGGTCATGGCTGGCCGCCATTCCTATTGGTCCTTTCCGACACTCCCGGCCCTTGGGCTAGACCGACTCCTTCCCTCTCCGCTCCATGCCCCCCCTCTCCGTTTCCGGCCGTCACGTCACGGTCACACACCCGGAATCGATTCCGATTCCGATTCCGGTTGTCACGGTCACGGTCACAAGCGGAGACGCCCAGAGGCAGTCTGGACCCCCCGAAGCCCTTCCTGGGCCTTCTAAGGATGCCTGGGCTCTTCCCTTGGCATCATGGTCCCAAACCTGCCTCTCCGGAGCTTCGAGGGCTACTCGACACTCACCTAGGGTCCATTGGCGACACCTGACTTCTCCCATGCGGTTGTTCGTCGCTATGCAGTCACTCTATCATTACTCCGGTCACTAGTATATAGTAGTGCACCTGAGCAGAGGGCTCCTTGGCTTGTTCTCTAAGGATTCCCCCTCTGCTCAGGTGAGTCTGTAGCGTCCCTTCCTGTTGTAGTAGTTTCACTAAGGATTCCCCCTCTGCTCAGGACTCTGATTTCGAGCCTCGCGAGGTTGCCCTTACAAAAGCCTTAAAATAATTAATTATCATGAAAATACTTGTGACATTTGTGACTTTAAAGCTGTTGCCCACATCTTTTGCATTACACCCATGGGCAGTGGCCCACATCTTTTGCATAGAAGTAGCTATATCAGCTGTTATAGGTTGTCCTATACCTCAACGCTCTTTGGTGACGACAGGGCAAAAATCTCCTGACGCTTATTTGGCCTGAGACAGAAGCAAGGAAAGTGGTCGCGGGCGGCGCTCACTCATAGCATTCTTCGTGGCAGGCCATGATCATGATAAGGACCCGGGAAGCTCTACCAAAGGGTGATTCAAAAAATTTGGGTTTTTGAGGCCCAAAAATCATGATTTCCTTGTCCAAAAAATGGGTTTTTGAAACAAAAATTCTGAAAACCTTCTTCAAAATATGGGTTTTTCAGGCCCGGGGAGGTTTGCAGGAAGGTTTTAGACTGACATATGCACCAGCGTTTCACCGAGTACCAGATGCCTTTTGAGAGGAAAATCACCCCAAAGAGTGTTAGTTCAAAGGTAAAAGCGGCGCAAGACACTTTTTGACACCTGCAAAAATTACCATTTTTAGCAAGTGTCACACAGTGACATGTCACGATCCTTCTTCAAAAATGGGTTTTTGGGGCTCAAAAAAATGGGTTTTTGAGGCCAAAATCTGGAAATTTTTTTAAATCACCCTTTGGTGAAGCTTCCCAGGTCCTTTATGATGTGTAAGTCCACTGTTCATGGTCAGTTGGCAGGTGGATTACGAGGGGGTTGCCGTTCCAGCGGAATATGTTCGTTGAAAATACTCCTGGTTAGAGGGGAATTGAAGAGCTATTGCTCTATGATTCAGGCGCCAGCTTATAATCGAGATGTCCTTAGTTGGCCGGTTCAACCGATGAAACCACGCCCAAGTCTCTGGGATCCAAGATGGCGGTGGTGACGGTGCGCCTCTGGGAAGTGCCTGTTAAAATCCAAGGGGGTCCCAACTTTCAAAAATCAGATATACCATCGAAAAGTTTTTTTCAGGCCATCTGGGACCCCCCCCTCCCCCTTACCATATCGGGTAATATATTCCCATGATCGCACATCATGTGATCAATTGATGTGATCAAAAGCGCTGATAAAATACACATTTTGAGTCACATTCAGTAAACTCCTCTTACTTATAAGTAATATATGGGTCTTGAGGCCTTATAAAGTCACTAGTAGACCATCCATGGCTATTTGTCATCAATGAGCAATAACATATTTATGACACCAGTCACAGTGCAGCCTAACCAAGGTGTTGAAGGCCTTCCCATAGAAAAGTAGTAAGCATATTCTATGCCCACCTCATATTCCATGCTCAAATACTACAAATATAGTACAAAGCCAACCTCAGACCTGCCAGAACCCCCCCCCCAAACTTTTGTATAGCAAATTTTTTTTTCACAATTCACTGACTGCAGTGAGTATAAGCATGCCCCCCTTGACCCACCATTGTCCGGAATATTAATTGAAGATAGTGTTGGCCTCTATGGATAATGGCTGCCCTGAATGTCTATTATTAATTATGTGCATATGATACTCAGCGGTCTGAGCTTCTTGAGGTCAAGATTCACTTCGAATCCACAACACAATGGCAGTTTTACTTCTAGTCAACGGTCAATTCCGTATTTTTTTCCCACCCCGATTTCGCATCGTTTCCGCTGATTGCTTGAGCGCCTTCTCTCATGGAGCATTTTATAAGACAAGAACCTTACAATTCTGGTTCATCTTCGTTGAGCGACATGTTGTTTTGTTACACAGAATAAGTATAAGATGCCTCGACGAGACCTTCGGCCTGCTTGGTCACCGCCGCCCAGGTTGGCAAGAACGTGACCAGCTCTTCGAAAGCGGGTATCCTCCCCGTCCCGTCGATGCCGATGCTCCCACTCGCATACTCAGCCCACGAGCAAGCGACAACACCCTGCAAGCCTCCTTCCCCTTCCCATTCAACATCCACTGTAAACGGCCGCTCCCACTCGCGGCTCCACAGCCGCAAATCAGCGTACCCCTCGCTCACTGACGATCCCAGAGGTAGCATCCCCCCGTCAGAGCCATGCACGAAATGACTCTTCACCCGCCGATTGGTGAACGACACGCGACACCCGCGCGAATTTCTCGCTGCCAATACGAATCTTGCAGATGTTGGTCCTAATCTTGTCGCACTCGCGGTCAGCCATCTCGCCGCTGCTGCCCCCGTCAATCCATCACCTGGCGATGGCAAGGGCAGCAATTCAGACTCCCAGGAACACCCGACAAGCCCTAGTCTTGTCGTGCTGCGCGCAACACATTGCAGCTCCGCCGATGTCTCCAGCGCGCTTGGGATCTTCTTTAACAAATCCTGTACGAAAGGTTTCTCCGCGCCGAAAAGAGTACTGGTAGCCAACTTGATTTCCGCATTCGGCGAGGAGACGTCGCCAAGAGCGACCGTCTGCTGGAAGAACACCTTGAGTGGTTCCTGGGCCGAGAAGGGGAACATTGACAGGCCAGCGAATGTTGTTATGACGAAGACGACAATGCATGTCGTTGCAACGAATGAATGGACCTTGAAAGTGAAAGGGACGACGGGAAGCACCATCATAAAGACGAGAGCGGAAATGGCACGGTACACTGCACAAAGACGATCAGAGATGAATTAATGATCATGATAGAAGATAACTTTACCTGTGCTTGCTGGACTGCCGTCAGAGAGTGTTTGTGCCAATGCTGCCACCAACAGCACTGAAATATGGGCAACTAGAGTTACCGGTACACCAACAGCCAGCGCGAGTTGCAACATCCACCACCCAATAGCCCCACTCTCCTCTTGAGTCTGTCTAACCTGAGCTCCAGGATAGATCAAAGGTGTGGTCTCTGTTGCCCCTTCCGCCTCTGCAACGGGTGGCGCGTCGTCTCGCTGGGGCAACGCAGCATATCGAACGCGTCTGAAAAACCGGTGTGGTGGGTCTCTCGATCCTTGTGCCCCAACCATATTTTCGATGGACCCAATCAGGCAAGCCAACCATATCGCGGCGTTCCACGCTGTGATGAAATAAACACCACCGATTCCTGCGTCGACGGCAACGGTGGATAGGACAAGAAGAATCCAGGTTAGGATGTAAGTCTGGAGAAGCATGACGTGTTTTTGCTTCTCTGGGAGATGGTTTGAAGCCGGTGTTATGACGAACACAAGCGACAGATAAGCAAGGGTGAACGACGAGGCCACCACGATAGAAGGACGGGAGTATACGATCTAGCAATGGGAATCAGCGAATGTCAACACGAAGAAGAGTACCCACATAAGGATTGAATCGCAGATATATGGCAACCAATAATGCTTGCAAGGCTATGGAAACAGCAACTCCAACCCAGAACTTGGCCCATATCCACACGCCCTTGACCCAGTCAAATGAAACGAAGGTGGTCCACGCCCGTCGGAAAAAGCCTTGATCGCTGGGCGGTTGTCCGTTCTGAGCTTCTCTTCCTCCACGAAGGATTGCCGCTTCAACGACAACCAGAACGACCAACACTAACGGGCCAACGACCAAGAGAAAGATGTTTGCGATGTAGAGATAATGCAGCGGCATCACCACCAGCCAGGAGCCGAATACTACACATACTTGGTTTAGTTGACCCATTGAAAGCAACCTGAAAAAAACGCACAATCAAAATATACCGGTGGGGCGCCGCCTCCGTGTGTCTTGTCGCTGTTCAACAAAGCTGACCCAGACGATTGGGCCGACTCCATCATGGCCCACAAGGCCGCCTCTTGCCCCAGAGTATGCGGTATTGCGTCATATTTGGTGTGGTACTTGCTTCGGCCTTTGTAAAACGCAAGGTCAAGCCCGTCCATCCCAAATCCAGTGTAGACAGTATAGTCTGTGCCGGAACGGACGACCCCACGCGCAAAGGCGTCGGCAGAAAGGACATTTCCGTGGGGATGAGGGACGTAGAATGCCCGAAGGGCTGGAGTTGAGGTCCCCCGGAAGAGGAGAGGACGTCTGGAAAAGTTGTAAGAAAGATAACATGACACCAAAAAGGACGAACCCTCCAGCAGCAGCTCCTTCCAAATTTAAGAACGAGTCCGTGAGGTTTGCCCACGGGTGTTTTAAAAATCTGTCCAGTGGTGAGTGGATGCCTCTCAGTGAAGCAAAAAAACGCACACAAAGGCCCCATTGAGCCCATCCTCCTCCCCATTGTTGATGTTGAATATTGCAGTCCTGGTGGGCCTATTCTTGGCAAAATACTCCACCAGCTGGATTAAGGTAGCGACGCCCATTCCGTCGTCCGTGGTTCCCGACGCAGTCGAAACCGAATCGTAGTGCGCCGAGAAAAGCACCCCCGGCTTGGTCGAGTCTATTCCTTCCACCCTAACGAGCACGTTTGTTGCTTCGTTGTACACAACCGCCCCGGTGCCGCTCCAAGCTGGCCATGAAGCATTTGAAAACACATCGTCCACCACTTCAACGTGGGGATAGTGTTTTGCGATGTTGGTGACGCGTTCGAGCACGAAAGAATGCACTTGGTCATTTGCATGCGAGAGGAATGGGTGAGGGTGGGCTGTGATCTAGATAGAAGGTGACTTGGAGGAGATTCAGCGAGAGCTGCCTACATGGTGGAGGTCCGCATATGCCTCTGTCAGGTTAAGGCCTCGTTGGTCTTTCGGGACTGCGGGAACCTCGTCGGTATAAAGAATGGCCAGAAAAAGCGCTGCATAGAGCGTGATAGTCAGAACAGTCGTTGGCAGCGTCCTGAACGCCAACACCCGCGCAATGGCTTCCACAATTTGCATGACGGCCCTTGAACGGGATGACGTTCAGCAGCAGGAGGGAATGATTACGTAATGTAAATGATGGAGAATGGGACTGATTAGATTAGTAGATAGGGGGGAGTAGATGAACCAGTTGTTGCATGAGCCCCCATCTGGGTCATGCACCCCCCGACACGATGCTGTAGAAAACTGCTGTACCTTTATTTGAATGCTGTGAAACGCTCTGATTGATTCTCGACCAGTGACTTCAGTTTGGCGCGCGATTCGTCTAGTGTGCACCAGAACGAGCGGATCTTCTATTCTATACTCGAAAGCCATAGTGCCAACCCTGGTGTCAAACAAGCTCTTTCCATCTTGATTCCGAGTCATTCGTCGAGTCATCATTGCTTGGACAAAACTCTGACTAGATTTGAATAGACCTGCTACTAGTACGATACTAAGTATGTGTGGTATGCTACAGTTGTAAATACAGATTATTCTCAATTCCAACACAAAACCGATTAGTTGATTAGTTATCTTTCAATACCGTTCGTCGTGTCGCATCACGACCAGCCTTCAACAAAAGAGTGAGTTCGTTCCCACCCGTGCCCCTTGTCGGGCCATCTCCCGCAGCCCGACTCTTCTGCAGCCTGTCCATCATTGAAGCGACTGGGCAACCAGCATAAGCTGTTGGAGTCGTGCGAGACATTGTCACAACGTAAAGGCACGCGATGCGCATATGAAGATCTCGCAACCGTTTGAGAGCCAGGACAGCTCCATCAAACGGCTCCCGCAATTGGCTTGTCCTCGAGGCCAGTTCACGAATCGATAAAGACCTCGTCGCAATCCAGGAAAGGTAGTCGCGATGCTTGCCAGGCATGTACCGCCTCATTCTCTCCATGAACCCGTGGTCGGCCCTCTTGTTGGCATCTGACGGGGCTGGATATCTCCGACTTTTGAGTTTGTGGTCGACATCGAGGAACACATCTAGAGCATGCATCACGCTGCTTTGCCCAGCTGATGGCCCACTCAAATCGAGCTTGTCGGTATTTTCAACTCCTTCGTAAACCCAGCCAGCCGCATTAGGTCCCTTGGCATCGCTGCCTTCAAACCACGGCCTGAGGTCCCAGTAAAAGACGTGCGGATCGACAACCGAGCGAACACTTTGAATGATGTCGCTAATGTCGTCGATGATAGCTGCAAGCCGGGTCAGGTCCCGCGCCACTTTGGAGATGGACGTCATGTCGTCCTCCACGTTGGGCAGATTGTTGAATTCGTCGATAATGCGCAACATCTCAATGCCACGATATTCTGCTCGTGCTGACGTGAGGTAAAAGTTGCGCTCGTCTTCGGTCCCAGAAAATAAATTAACAAATCGGATGTTGTCAATGGAGAACGGTTCAGTTGCGTCGATCAGCTCCCAATTCCATAGGACCGTATCAGCGAAGGTCAAGACCGGTGCGATGCCTAGATGCCTCGAGATAGCAACAAGAGGCACCGCGATTGATTTCGGAACGACAAACGCCTTGTCATCTGTTGGTTCGGGAGAGGAATGGACATAGTAGTGGACAAGCCAAGCCAGAACGAGATGAGCGCGCTGAGAAAGTCGTAGATTGGATTGAAGGACTTCGGTGTCAATCACAGGCCACTTTGAATGACATCAGTCTTTTTGGCCAAGGCTAACAAGCAAAGTTTTTGACGCACAGATCGAACCTGAGCCCGCCATGACTCGCCCGACACGCGTTTGGCAGTTGCTGCTTCCGACTCGTCTTCGTAAAGACTAAGCTGGTCAGGCGCGTCAGTCAGCGCCTGTTCCCACACCGAGAAAGCATGGGGCAGCCGAGGCAGTGGTTGGCGAGGAAAGAAGCCACTCTCAATAACATCCACATCGAAGTCGGCTGCTACGCGTCTTCTGTCTGCACTCTTGCGCGTTGTGGCTGACCGTTGCCAGTAGTCGACGGCAAGGGTGAAGTAATGGTGGGGGGAAGGAAGGAGGTCGATAACCACGTTCATTGGGGGAGGGGGGGAAAGCTGTAAAGGTTGGGCGGCAAAAGCTGAATCGCGTACCTCATTTTATACCGCGCCAGAAAGCGCTTTGTTGTGTATGATATGCCTACTCGGGGTTAGTCGTCGTGGTCTAAGATCGAGATTTGCAGGGGAAGGAAAACAAATGAAATGACTAAGTTGAATTGGTGCCGCGGACTCAGATTAAAGGGTGGCTGTGAGCATGGCAATGGCGATGCATTCTAGGCCGTAATGGCGGGATCGGGCAAGAATCCGTAGTAGCCTGACCCGGCGGTGGGATTCCATCATCGGCCGGGGTTAAACGGCGCTCACATCAAACACACCGAAAGGAGAAATAATTTGTGAAGCAGACACGAAAAACAACGACTACGGGTCCCATCGCAGCCAAACGAAGTTACCATCCTGGTTGTCAACAAAGATAGTCTTGCGACGGACAACCTCCAATATTTTCTCAGTCATACCTGCTTTGCCCGCTCGTGTGTCATGAAAGTACTCGAGCAAATCGTCGACCGTATAACCCATGTCACCGCTATCAGGGTCTGCTCCAGTGATAACATCCCGGATTTCGTCCTCTGTGGGCAGTGCAAAGCGCATCTGCATTCGCTCGCTTGCCCCTCGAGGAACCTCTCCAAATGATTCGGCCGAGCCAATTGTAGGTGTGTTTTCAATGTAGGGAGAATGTGGCGAGAAGAACCGCTCAACAATCTGGTCAGACACTTCTTCCACAGTCGAGGGTTTCCAGTCTGGCCGGTCTTTGGATTTGGTCATCAACACCGCAGTCACGCCGGTGGTGAAATCGGGGCTCGCTCCGTTCTATATTTACATTAGAGTTCGCAGATACGACGGGAGAAGAAATCATACGCAGAATGCAGTAGCGATCTTCAACTCCATGTTTAGCGCCTCCGTGAGCGATTGTGTTTTCCCCAACCGGATCGCCTTCAACGCAACCTTTAGGCTGGTTGGACTCCGGAGTTTCAGGGTTTCCAGCGTCTTCACTGCCCATTGGCTAATGCTCGGGTCTTGGTCTTCTGTAAGCAACTCCAAGTCGGAGAAGATTGCCTCGACGCGATCATGCCCAAACGCTATATCCATCGCGGCTCGTGTTGCGTCAACAAATGGAGGTGGTGGGTCCTCTTGCTCCCGTTCATGGGACAATTCCTCCAAGGTACGATCAATGGCAACGTGGTCCGGGTGCTCCATGGTAGAAAGACGGTCCATGAGTAATGGTATCCTTCTGGAAGGAATATAATGAGTCGCAAAGCCGTGCTCACTGCAAATAAATTATCTCCATCAGAATCGGACCCACAGAAACAGCAAAGCACGCACAACACAGCACGGCCGACTAGCTTATCTGAAGTCAGGGCTAGATATGTCCCGAGCTCGCCATCGAGCCGAGACAGAAAATAACTCGCACCCACATCGGGACAATACCCAATATTGGTCTCCGGCATCGAGAAAACTGTCTTTTCAGTTGCTATTCGGAAGGGCGCATTAGCAACGAGACCCACGCCACCGCCCACTTAGCAACACGTCAATATTAGCAGTAGAATGGCAGGCGAAACGAACTTGTAATGCCATCTAATAGTGCGACATACGGTTTTCGCAACGATGCCAGCAGCAAGTCGAGTTCAAACCTGAGGAGTCATTAAACCTGGTGACGTATTTTTTCCGGCCGCCTTAGCCACTCACTCGCGTTTAAAAAAATCGACAGCCTTGTGCCTCGTTGTGACATCGCCCGCCGACCGAACAACACCTGCAAAAAAAAATCCTGAGTAATAGTCGATTGACAGACTCGGGAAACATACTTTCAACGTCTCCACCTGCGCAGAAAGCCCGACCGGTTCCAGAGCCAACGATGACGGTGCAGAGGTCTGCGTCATCCCATTCCTAAGTTGCCGAGCACATTCAGATGAAGGAACGAGGGTTCGTGCTTGACGGACCTCGATTTTCGGACGGAGAATGTCGAGCATTTCGTCGTTGAGTGCATTGAGCTTGTTCGGGCGATTCAGGATGTAGTTTCTCACCCCCAGAGTTGTCTCGAAACGGACTACGGGCTAATGCAAAAGTGGATGAGTCGGGAACAGTCGGGAGGTGAATAACACACTTCGGGGGCTTCAGAAGACATGTGCCTCGCAATGGCACCCGCTCTGCTCGCAGCTAGAGCTCTCCGAGACATAAGCCGCGTCGCCGCTAAGAGCATCGAGCCAAGGGCAAAAGAGCTCACGTGCTGTGACGTAGATGGTTTCGACAGGAACGCGTCTCCGACTGGCAGAGCATACTGGAACAATCCGATACGCTGGCCCTGTAGATGGAACTACTGGATCTTGGCTTGGAATTGAATGGGACGACCCGACCCGCGGAAAGCACGACGGTGTGAAGGACGGCAAACGGTATTTTACGTGCAGGTTCGAAATTTCCTCCCTGTTCATACTGAATAAGCACATGGCATAGAATCCCTAATTCAGGCTCGTTTATACGACCCACATCTAAGGAAATCATCTATGGCTCTTCGTTTCTACCAGCTCTTCATGCCAAATATGTCGAACAACTCCAGGGACCACAAGAATCTGTTCTCCTGGGTTCGTCAAATGGCGCCATCCAAGTAGAAGCGGTCGATCTCGATAAAATCCGTGCCAAGTTTGCCAACCTCGGCAAACTTCGTGAAGTCAGTCTGGATACCGACTTTGTGTCACGATACGACGGCCCTGAGGGTAGTATTCGTGCGACATGTCCCAGTAAGTCGCTGTTTCCCGCTTTCCCTGATCCACCCAACAAAAAATTAGATGTACGTGGCTTGGACTTGTCCACGAGCCTTTTCTCCGACTGGGAGCCTATTGTTGCCATTTGTGCGGAACTGCCGTATCTTGAACGCCTATCTCTCAAGTAACAACATGCTCCACAGTCCTCATTACCCGATCACTGACTTGTTTTTGCTGGCAGTCGCACACGGTTGACACTGGCAAAAGATGGTCTTACTTCAGGCTCGTTTGCAAACCTGATAGAGTTGCGGCTTAACGCGGCGCTCGCAACATGGGACGACATCCGGCGAATCACCAGCGCCATGCCGGCATTGAAAACAATCGAAGTCGGGCACAACCGCATTCACCAACTTGCCGGTTCCCTACAAGGATCCACGCTGGAATCCATCAATCTCGACAGCAACGGCCTGCACGACTGGAACGAAATTTGTACCACCCTTATGACATGTTCATCGTCAGTCACCCTGGTTATTTTTTACCTCAACTCACGTTGACTAGGCTAGATCGTGTTGTCCTTGCCTCCAACCTGATCACGACAATCCCCTTGCCTCCGCGGGGACTAACGCTGGGTGTGCGACACCTCTCACTATCGCATAACCGCATAGCGACCTGGCGCGATGTCGACTCACTTTCCCTATGGTGTCCCAGTCTACAAACCCTTACGATGCTCGGGAACCCGCTCTTCGACGGTCAAGCTCGCCAAATTCCTATATCTAATCTTACCCCCATAACACACAGATCCCGAGCATGCCCGGTCGGCCCGGCAAATGACGATTGCGCGGATCCCGTCTCTTCAGGCTCTAGATGCCGGCGCGGTGGGTCCCTTTGCGGTGGTGCACCGTTTACTTTCAGCTTATTTATACTCCCAGATTTCCTCCAAGGAACGCATAGACTCTGAACTGTTTTACCTTTCCCACATTGCTCTGCATGGTCCACAGTCTCTGGAAGCCCGCGTCGCTGCCCACCCACGCTGGACCGCTCTATGCGAAAGTAATAACCCTCTGCCTCCCGGTGATGAATTCCATTCATATCTGTTTCGACAGAGCATGGCCGGCCGGATGAACCGGAAATCACTGGCCACCATCAAGATACGCTTAGCCGACGATTAATCGGTTCGTCGTTGCTTTCGTTTCGCACTTGGCTTTCTGGAGCAAAATAACCACTTAGAGCTCAACATATTCCACTCTATGACAGAGCCTCCGGTCAGCGCCGAGGGGCTAACAGACCGCATCACGCTGCGGGCGCTGCCAACAATGACTCTCCATGCGCTCCGCCTCAAGCTCTGCAAAACAGCGAAACGGAGGCCAGGAAACACCGCTGTTGACATCTGGCTCCAAATGAACGACAGTGAAAACTCTTATGCCATCTTGGCCGAAGACCGCGACACCCAGGACTTGGCATGGTTGGGCATAGAATCAGGATCTAATATCGTGTTTGCACTACATGACATGTAACTTGGAAAGGCGAGAGAGAAAAAAATAATAAGATTCTTGACAACTTGACTAAGTAGGCAATGGAATCCGCAAGGCTGTTGAGCCGGGAGGTTCAGCCCGCAACGTCAGTAGTGTTGATGTCCTTGGAAACGCGAAGGCCTGACTTGACATATTCATTCAATCTTCGTGCCGCACTGGTCTTGACTTGCTGCTTTGGGTTGCTGGTCGGTCGTCTCGCGTTGCCGGCAATTCTGGTCCTCACGTCCTGTCCAATCGCGCTGCGGTCCAATCCCTTTCACGTATATCGAGCGGTCCAGTAGGTACACGGTGGGAGTCGGATCCACGTAGTTAGAAGGCAGAAAACACCAATTTCGATAACACCATTTTTTTCTGGGCTTTTTTTTTTCGTTCGGAAGAGAGGAGTAGAGAGAAACAGAGAAATTCGCATCGTCCTTGAGTCGACGCCAGTTCTTTTGGGTTCGTCCTTTCACTTCAACGAGAGCGGTCCCTGCCCCAACCTCCATCTCCGTTCTTGGCTGAACGGTCGCGGTCGTCCTTTCCATCTTTGTCGTCCTTGTCCCGCTTCTTGTCATCGCGGTCACTGTTGGTAAAGCATAATCAACCTCAAGCATACATCATTAGAGAGATCAACTTACCGGCTTCGTTCGCGTCGGGGTGGGGACCTACGACGATCACGTGTCCGGGGAGATCTGGACCTCGAGCGGTCTTTGCGACGGTCATCCCTATCTCTGTCGCGCTTGTCTCTGTCGTCGCGCCTACGATAACCACGGTCGTCGTCATCACCATCACGCCTGCTACGATAGCCTCCTCCGCCTCCTCCACGGTCATCTCGGCGGTAGTTATCTGGACCAGAACGCTGTGAAGAGTTGAGAGATGATACTAGCGATAGAGAACCAACTCACCGAGTCATCATATTCGACACGAACTGCGCGACCACGGAGATCCTTGCCGTCGAGTTCCTTGACTGCAATGTCGGCATCATCACGGCTCAAATACTCCAGAACACTATAACGTTGTATTCAGTCCAACCTTTGGCGGCGCCGGGAAATGGTGTTTCACCCTTGTTCTCTTTGGTTGTAGTCAATATCTGCAAATGAAACGTTTCCAGCCTCGCGGCCAAAATCCTTGAGGTCCTAAGAGCGGGAAGGAGTTGATCAGGGCCGGTCCGTCCAATTGATAACAACAGGCGTGTCCAGATAAAAGGGAATGCATCGAGCCCAAACGCCAACGCCACCAATGGAAATAAGGGGAAAGGGAGGCCTGACGAGACGAAATCTTCGAGAACCAAGATCGTACCTGCCAGCTGGTGTCACGGGAGAGGTTGGAAACGATGAGCCGAATGCCAGGTGGGCGACGAGAGCGAGCACTGGGGAGCGTTAGAACCGAGACTTGGTCGTTGATATTAGGTACCCTCTGTCGCCTCTATCGCCTCTGTCGCGGTCTCTGTCGTCAAATTCCCGGTCACGACGCGGCCGACTCTCTTTCGCAAACTCGACAACAATGCTGGATGACAAACACCTTTAGTGTCCGAAAAAAGTTGTTCTAGGTTACCAAACGTACTTGTTGCCCATGAACGACTTTCCATTGAAGTTGTTCACTGCGTCTTCGGCATCCTACCAGAATAAGCGCCGAAATCAGAGGAGGACGGCAACTCACCTTGGAAGACTCAAACTCCACAAACCCGAAGCCTGGCGTTGCATTCAGTGTAATCTGGTAGTTGATGTGATGGTTTGAAACACAACAAACCGGTCATGACACGACAGTCGATTATGCCTCCATAATTCTCAAACAGCTTCGAAATGTCCTCAGAACGGGTGTCGGTGGAAAGTCCTATGATATAGTTAGGCATAGAGCCAATAAATGAGTAGAACACCCTACTGCCGAGGTACAAACGCCGAGACATGGCAGAAGGCAGGAGGGGGAAGAAGAGATGAAAATTGATGTGTCACAACGTGACACAGTCCGTATGTGTGTGTGTGTGCAGATTTGTCAACGAGATATAGTTACATTTTGTGGGGGGTAGCAAGCGGAAAGTAACGTAGATTGATATGTATAGGTCCACCCTGGCATTGCTTCTTGGCCAAGAAGACACGTAACAGAAATATGGTAGGACAGAGTGTTTAAATTCTGTTAATGTTGTGACTGAGACCAGTCGATGGTGTTGATGTCAATTCCCTCCTGGACCATCTCCCACAGGGGACTACGGCTATATGAGTCCTGCTCTATGAATACCCGGGAAGAAGACAAACCTCATGTCACGAAGCTTCTGGACCGTGCGTACAATGTGGTCAACAACGAAGTCGACTTCAGCTTCCGTGGTAAAGCGGCCCATGCCGAAGCGCAATGAGGAATGGGCCATATCTTCGGCAGCACCTAGAGGTAATGTTAACATGAGAAATTAGCATAGACAACGACATACCCAGAGCACGAAGAACATAAGAGGGCTCCAGCGACGCAGAGGTACATGCACTTCCTGACGATAGAGCAATGTCCTAAGAGACGTATGAGGCTTCTCAACGTGACCAGGCTATAGCATACATACCTTCAAGGCCATCAAAAGACTCTCGCCTTCCACATACGAGAAACTCAGGTTGACACAACCCGGATACCCATTTGCATCACCATTTCGCACCACATGCTCAACCTGAGAGTTGATTCTCTGTAAAAGGCGATTGGATAGTTTGGAGATGTGTTTATGGTCGCGCTGCGAAAAGTATCAGTATCCATCTTAAGTCCGCTCCCTCAGAGAGAATGGTCAGCACCCCTGCACGCGAGGTCCTTGCCCAGTCGGAAACGCAAAATGCAGTTTCCACTGGACTCAATGCGTGCGAGTCTCATCATTCCACGCAACGAATGAAAGATAACGCACGCTCATTTCTAGTTTTGCAATCCGTGCCGCTTCGCCGATTCCAACCACTAAGGGTGTTGACAGTGTTCCGCTTCGTAAACCCCGTTCTTGGCCGCCACCATTAATTATTGGCTCCAGACGCACCCGTGGCCGTCGTCGGACATAAGCTGCGCCAATTCCCTTGGGTCCATAGATTTTGTGGCCAGAAATACTCATGAGGTCGACATTCATCTCGTTGACGTCGACCGGTATTTTTCCGACTGCCTGAGCTGCATCTGTGTGGAGGTAGACCCCTCGATGCTTGCGAACCAGTGCGCCAATTTCTTTCATCGGTTGGATGACCCCAGTCTCGTTGTTGACGGTCATAATGGAAACCAACGAAGTATCAGGGCGAATGGCGGCTTCGAGTTCGCTCAGGGAGATGATTCCGTTGGACTGAACGGGGAGATATGTAACATCAAAACCCTCTTCCTGGAGCTTCCGGCACGAGTCGAGCACACATTTGTGCTCCTAGAAGAATGTGAGAGAGACGAAAGATTAGCTTGCGATGCACGCACTGTCTGTGTTGTGATGATATGCCTCTTCTTCTCCTTATGAAAGCGAGCAACACCTTTAATGGCCATATTGTTCGTTTCTGTTGCACCAGAGGTGAAAACAATATCTTTTGGGTCGGCACCAATGAGGTCTGCGACATGCTATCGGAGGCTCAGCTTCAGTTCCTGGGCTATTGGAAGTCTTACTTTTCGAGCATCCTCGACGGCCTGCTCTGCTTCCCAGCCGTAGGCGTGTGTCCGACTGTGGGGATTTCCATACTGGTCTGTCATGTAAGGCAGCATCGCGTCGAGCACCCTTGGGTCTACGGGTGTCGTTGCCTATCTTGCTTGTGAGATTTTTGAAGACTCTCGAGGAGAGAAACAACGAACTTGCATGTCAAGGTATATTGGTCGCGTAGCGTCAGCGGTGGAACTCTCCCGCTTCGGCATCTCGAGGTTAAAGCCAAGCATATCTGAAACATAAATTTGGATCCAGAAACGCAGATAAGGAACGCGTGCCTGCTCGCGGAGTGAAGTGGCTCTCATCGTGGTAAGTGGCGGGTAAGTCGACAACTCTAGCACGGTCGGGACCAGAGGGCTGCGCAAGCGACCGTCTAGAGCCAGTGGCAAGACTCGTCGTTGCTTGTTTTGTCGTGGCTCGACGAGCTGCAGCACGGGATACCCTCGACAACATGGCAGCGAGAATGAAGAGATGATTTTGAAAGTGTCACGCGTGACAATGGCCGGTTATATCTGATAAACGCGATTTGTAGGCGCCCCAAGCATATAGAGTGGCCGCGTCAGACTTGTGGAGTGCCGAATACTGAGTCCTACTTCATGACCACGTCTCTTCTTGTGCTGGCGGCGATCTAAATTCAGATGCCTCGGACTTGAATAATAGTTAGTACAGGCTGAGTACTATGAGTACTCAAAGCTCACAACTACACGGTTCGTCAAGTTAGCGCGATACAGATTATAACTACTTGCATTTGCCAATTGCCCTACATATCTCAAGGCCAAGTAAAAGTCTGGGTGGTCTGATGCTTCTTCCTAAAATCCCGAGCTCTTGAATGCTAAACAGTATCTAGGTGAAATATAAGTACTAAGTATTAGGCAAAAAAATATTGAACGCGCAATTCTTGAGCTCTAAGTTATCGTGATGCTTGCGTCTTAATTTCCGTTCTTAGGACTTGGTGCTTTGATAATGCCCAGTGTAGGTAAGCGACCCACCTGTTCTTTGCTCCGAATAGCTCCGAATCTGGCGAGACGGTAAAGCGTCGAGTCCAAGGGTCGGTCCAAATCGGTGTCCCTGGTATAGTTTGCAATGTCCAGAGCCAAATTGAGCATTCGACGGAGATGTTTGAGTTGATTTGCATAACTGACCTTCTCCGATGACCACTGCGCATCTATAATACTCATGGGGGGCTCGACCGAGTCTCCGAGGTGATTGTTGGGCGAATTGAAGAGGTTGCGGTGTTGCTAGTCCACGAGGCAGACGGTCTAGAGCCAAAGGAGACTTGGAATTAAGACGATTGGCAGCGGAGCCACAAGTCCTAACACCGTTTTGACAGAAAATCCTTCAGGGAATCCCGCCGAATCCGCCGTTTGCGGGATTCAACCAGAGCTGTAGAGTGAAACCAGATGCTGACAGACGCTGGTCTCACGGTCGGCATCGGAGACGAGGTCAACCAAAAGATGAAACCAGCAGAATAGTTGGATGGAAGACTGGTCTGACTCCGAGTCTGACTGCAGCGTTACACAGCATCTTGCCAATTATGGTAACGATCGGCGTCTTCCCTTCTTAACGCGTACCATCATGAGCGACTCGATACCACCCTCGGTATTTACCCACCCCGCTGCCAAATCTCATCTCATCTTCCCAAAAATAGTTGCCAGAACCCGCTCCCGAGAACTGGATTGAACTTTCGTTTTCGTGGGCCGGGAAACCCTTCAGCCTTAGCCTTGCCGAATCGGACAGGTCTGTAATTCTTCAAACACGCGCGTGATGGAGCCATGACCGCATCTTTAGAGTATTCGACTTCAAGGCTGCGCTCCAGAACCTGACCCGCGTTCCTCCGGAGCGCCAAAAGATCCTTGGTCTTGTAAAGGGCAACAAAACGCTTGCAGACCAAGAACGAATCGGGGATTTGAAATTGAACAAAAAGTTCACTCTCATTGGCACTCCAGAGGGCGATGAAATCAAAGGTGCGACGCGTCATTATACCTTTGTGGCCTTCGTACCGATCACAATTGTGCAGACCCATCCAGTCCGTGCTTCATGCCATTCGTCCTTTCATTGTCTTATTGGAGGCAGAACTCGAAAACTTGCCCGACATTGTAAACGACTTCGACTTGGATTTGGCGCGTGATCCCGTTGCAAGTGCTGCATACGCCAACGACCAGCGAAATCAACGCAAAGTGAAGGAAGCCACCTCTGCGTTGAAAGTCAATATCATCCATCCTTTGCGGGAGGTTCGTACACCCTTTGAACTGCGCATCGCATCTAATGATGCCCCGGCAGAAGAAGAAGTTGCTTGTCCTTGACATTGATTATAGTCCGTATTCGCCAATCCCCGGCCAGTCGAGTGGCATCTGTTAACCGCCCACGCAGCAATACTGGATACCAAGCCGCTGACCACAGGCAGTTTACCTCCCGCAGAATGTGCTCGACCGCGCCTCCACGAGTTTCTTGAGGCGATATACCCATACTATGATAGTAAACCCGCTCCTTGGTTGTCGTATGATCCCCCTTAACTGCGTTCACAGTATGTATCTGGTCACAAACAAGCTGGATCTGGCTAGAAACGAAACTTGTCGAACTAGAAATGGTAGGAGCTCACCGAAACTACCAGGTTTGTGAGCGCTTGTTCTTTTTCATCTCATCGCCACTCCCGTCTTTTTCTCACGATCCGCTACAGATATCTTTCGGTAAATGGTCCTCGACCACGCGACTTCCCGTTTGACACTCATTACTCCGTCGGCAGTGCTCGACAAGACGCCCATGTTCACCGTATTCAGTACACGCGACAACAAGCCCTGGCAACACTCAGTCAAGGCGCTGCAAATCATTTGGAACCACTTCCCGCAATTGTTTGTTCCGTTTCGCTCGGAGATGAGACTGAAAAAATAACTGCATCTAGCAACGCATCCAATACCATTCACGTTGACGACTTAAGTCGCAATTTTGCCCTCAACCCCGGCCAAGGACTGAAGATCTCTGCCTTCAAAGGCGCCGCAACTCCACAGGCAACGGCAGATCGGGAGCTCGACAAGCTAGCTCGATATATGGTGCATATTGCCAATGTAGATGACTTCAGAACGCTGCACCACGAGGTGCTTCACTGCCTGATGATTGATTGTTCATTGCTCATGTCAAAAATTTTTAGAACTGGAAGACTGTCCTCCGGGGTCTGCCAGAATCATAATGCGGCGATTCGCGGTGAATAGCACGAATTTCGGGCGGGCATAGGGTTCAATTCGACAGAGAAGCGGACAGGGAAGAAGAAGACTACCAGTATATGTACACTCGAACGGAATTTCGTTGTGGTGCTTTCGAATCATCGACGCGCACACGTGACCGTCTCCTCACTTCTTTCAATAGAGCAAGTAGGAAATTTTTCGTGTAATGTACAAACAAGTCGCTTTTTATCCCCGTCTTGAAATGTAGCTAGGGGTATCCCAATCCAATCGTCAGTACTCTCAAAGCGATGGGTTCGCCTTGGTGACCAGTGTGACGAAGTACTCTTGGAACCAAGTACCGGCCTCTGGCGCTGGTTGGTCAGCGTCACTGAAGGGAAATTGAGATATGGTAGCGCGATGAAGAGAAATACGCACGAGAGACCACAGTGAGAGTCGTAGCGAGCGGCAGATGTGTTGCTGGTTCCGTCACATTCACCTCCGGGCTTGACCCAGACGATGGCGTCGATGAGCGAAGAGCCGGTGTTGAGGGTTGGGCGGGTACCGAAGCCTGCACCCTTTACGTTGCACCAGTCACCCCATTCTACGAAGAGCTGTCAACACAAGACGTCTTCAGAACCTGATCAGAGCTCACGTTGACGGAGGTTCTGTTGGCCAGAGCGGCCCTGGTCGACAATGAAGTGTGCTGGGAAGCCGGCGCTGGAAAGGAGGGGAGCAAGGGCGTTGATGTAGTGGATCTCGTCGTAGTTGTTGTTGCCCTGGGTGATGGGGTCGGGGCTGGAGGCAGAGAGCTGTCCCAACGTAGTAAGCAAGAGTTGGTTTCTGGTGGAAATTACAACATACCGCGTTGTAGTTGGCAACGTTGGTGGCGAGACCACGGACGTTAGCGGGCGAGCCGGCGTTCTTGAAGAGCGAGGCGAAGAGGTTGGCAGCGGGCTGCAAGTTGGCGGGCCAGCCGAGCCATCCAGCGTGGCCAGCATCGAGATACATGAAGACATTGCCGAGCTTGTTGAGTTGTTGGATCGCGTAAGTGACACAGGCAATGTAGGTCGTCTGGGCGTTGGAGCACTTGGAGACGTTCAAGTTGGTGACAAGGTTGGCCAGACTGTCGGGTTCGACGACTGGAGATGGGTTAGCCCTTGGGTAAAAAGAATATTAATCCGGAGACTCACCAGCGATGACACGGACATCAGGGTACTGCTTGATCTGGGCGACGATTTGGTCGATGTAGTTGAAGTAGTTGGCCTGGCCGTTGTTGGCAATGCTGAACTCTCCGTTGGAGGCAAGAGCGGCGCAGTCACGGTCGGGAAGGTCGTAGACGACGATCTGAACGATGCTGGGAGTTCCAGAGGACTTTCCGGCAGCGCTGGCAGATGCGAGGTATGTGCCGAGAGTGGGGACCTTTGCAATGACATCGAGCCAAATGAAAGTGGGGATGTTGGCGACGCTGAGTGCCTTGGCCTTGGTGGTAGCATCGCTGATGTTAGCAGCGGCAGCTTGGACCTCAGTGGCGTAGAAAGGAGACAGGAAGATGTTGCGGCCAGAGAATGGGTTTCCGGCAATGGGGGTTTGACTAGTCACTGGGCCGGAGCTCGTTGATGAACCTGTCTTCGAAGTGGAAGACGAAACGGGTTTTGTGGTGGATGACGTGGTGCCACCTCCACCGCCACCGTTTGATCCGGGCCTGTGAACAAGTTGAGCAAGGGGTAAATACAACCTTGGGAACCGTGGCGTACAAGCATTGTGAGTAGTAGGGATTCTGAAGATAGGGGTAAGTTCGAGCACGTGCACATTATGATGGGTACTCACACTGTATGTGCAAGTCGAACCAGAGGCACAAGTTGTAGGACCAGCTGTGGTTGTTTAACTTCAGGCAAGCTCCACTTGTTTCCGACTTACTCCATCCTTGACCACCACATTGGCCCTGGTAGATTGTATGAGCCCAGCTTTCAAGTAGCAAGTAGGACACTCACATAAATTGGGCTTTGTGCGTGGGCCAGAAGTGGAACAACTGCCAGAAGAGCGAGGACCGAGGACAACATCTTGGATGACCTTGCCTTCCTTCGTCGTCGTTGAAGCCATTATATACCCTGTGGTCATTTTTCTCGGAGAAAACGATCACAAGCCCTGCTCAACAGATTCGGCATTAATTGGGTACGAGGATCATCTTGCAACCAGCGAAGAACAAGCGAAGCAAGCGCCGGCCGGTGCCAAAAAAGCACGGAATTCTCGAAATAGGCCCCGCCGTGTCGTCTTAGGCGGGCTTCGGTGGTGAAGATGATTCCTAGTCATTTTCCGACCTTTAAGCGGGTGCATCCGGTCGCGGTGTTTTTCCGGCTATAGGTCTTGTGATCTAGATGAGATAGTAAGGTCGCGAAGCGGCTCAATTCCGGGGAGTAACAACGACTGCCATAACGCTGAAGGTGAAAGTGGAGAGCTGCCAGATGGACATCGCAAAATTAAAAGTTGTCGAAGGAAGAGAATCGGAGCACGCCATAAATTTCAAGCGTCATCGGCCTTACAGACAGGTGTAGTCATATCAGTAGAACGTCCATCCGATTCAAGTGCAAAGGTAAAAAAAAACATACGTCCTCTCCTACACTATGTCCGCTTCCGCCCAGAACTTGGGGGAGGCGGAAGCAAAGGAAAGCCGCCGCCAGAAGAGGCTGAGCTATTCGAGGAGGTAGATGATGAGAGGCCAGCAAAGTCACCCAGAAGATTTGGAGTTGCGCTCGTTGTCGTGGCTTTGCTCCCGCGGCCTGGTATGTTGATCGAAAAAGTTTGGCCTTCCTTGAGGCTATAGTCTTTCTTGGGACCGGCAGGGATATGGGGTGATGGTGTAAATTCTTCAGCCTCAGGCGGGTTTAGTGCAATACGACGTCGCCTTCAATACTAAGTCCAAGGCCACACAAAGAACTGCTTAATACTCACTTGCTGTAGTCCTGAAGAGCAACATCTCGTCGCAAATGAGCGTCAATTCAACACAAGCAAGAGAACTCACTGAAATCGAAACTGTCGGATCGCTCCTGGAAACCCATTCCGAGATATGCCTTCCGCCCTTCATCCTCCACCCGAACGACAAAATAACGCGAGGAGTCTAAGACAGCCTCCACACATGGTCGTGCGATGTCATACTCAGCTTTGGCAAATACTACCAGAAGTTCAGTGGTCGAGTAGAGCAGTCAGATTCTATTCATACGCTCTCCTGGCTCGACGTCAGCTGTGTGGTTTATAGCTCAATATTAGCACACTCACCATTCTGCGCATCCTCAAACATCAACGATGCCCCAGACGACTTTTCGACAATCCGGAGACGACCTGGCTGATTGTTTGAGGTTTTAGATTGCCTTTGGATATGGGCCACACACCTTTCCAAAGCGGAGCAGCGAGGTCACCCCATTCCCCTGCTCGATGGCCTTCGTTCTTCTTGAGTGGTGGAATCTTGTAGACTGCGATATATGAGCAGCTGAGAGCAATAAGAGGATGTTGGCCTCACCAGACACTTCGCGGCCAATGTAGAGTATAGATTCGATTTCGTCCTCCATGATGTAGAGTCAGATCAAGTTGCTTCCGCCCATCATCATGTCTACAGCAGGCCCACCAACACCACCCCCTTCCTCAGCAACCGAAATTCAGGATGCTGCCAGGACATCGGCCCCTCCAGCTGCTGCAGCGCCAGCCCCACAAAGCGTCGTTTCAGATCACTTTACGCAAATATTTCCGCGCATCGCGACTTTGGCAACAGAAAAGAAGTACAAAGAACTCATCCGTTTGGCCGAGTTGAACGACTACGGGGTGTGTCGAGCAACTTTTATGTCTCCCGATCCCGACTGACATCACAGTCCAGGCCGACTCTGACCGCAGTCCAACCCGTCTTGCGCTGACCACGCCCCTCGTTCTTGCCTATCTTATCCTCGACGATCTGCAAGTAGCGTTTCGTTGCCCAGTCTCATTTGTTTGACGCGTCATAGCCAGCCCGCTCGCTTCGCCTTACAGCGCCTTCCGCGCGACCTTGCCGTGTCTCCCATCGCGAAAGCCTTCTTCGCGCTGCTGGCATCAACTGTGGAACGCAAATACGCTAATGTCTATTCTCGCACGACCGAGCTTCTTGCTATCACCAGCGGCTCCGACTTCCTTGACGCGAATCTCGGCGCGATATTGGGCCTCATGCTGAACGCATTCCTCGGTATGCTTTTCGTTCGATGCTTTCCAATCACACCCATCGAATGATGTTTGAGGCATTTGGCTTTATGCAGGCCTTCGTCTGCACTGCAGAAACCTATCTCAGCTACCTTCGGGCCTTGAGCCCGCTTTTCTGATTTTCTTGCACCTCAATAACTTCTGCTGTGAAGCTCACGTGTCTTCACAGAATCATTCCGCACGCGGACATTTAATCTCCTAAAGAAGGCCTATACCTCCCTTCCAGTGTCCCTGGCCCAGGTATACCTTGGTCTTGGGGCGGAGGAGGTCCTGTCAGGTACCCATTCCTTCTCAGTTTCGTGCATTTCTTACCACCACCACGACCAGCTGCTGCGAGCGATGGCTGGTCGTACGACGCCTCCACACAAATACTCACCCCTGCGCAACGATCCGCGTCCACACAACTTGCGAATGGCTTCACCCGTATGTCTTGCTAATCTGCCGCTCGTCTTCAGCAGATTAACCAACTCATAGCATTCTCCACGCTCGCAACCTTTGACTTTGTTGCCAACAGTGTCGCAAAGTTGGAAACTTAAGAACGTATCAGTCAAGTGTATCAAACCTCTGTACAAATTGCATCAACTGAACAAGCTGCGACCAGCGGCCTATTGAGCATCGCCCAAGTCTGCTTTCCCATCAATGTAAAGCTTTTGTGTGTGTTCTGCACCGGTGATGGAAGACCTGCGCATACGCCGCATGAATGCAGACCTATTCATATGCTGCATGAATCCGGGTCGTTGTCCGCAAAAGTTGGCCCTTCAGTGTCCTCGGCTCCGTTACCCTTCGCCAGCGAGACCGTCGTCGGGGAAGAAAAGATCAGTGACGGGCCGGGTTCCCGATTTGGCTCCGTTGGCCAATCCACAGCCACACCCACATCATTTGGCGGAAACGACGACCACCACAACTCTAGTTCCTTGCGGGCACAACCAACTCTCGCTCCAACACCTGCAATTCCCGCGAGCAGCATGCAGCGTACTCCCAGCAACAACTCGGCCCGTCCTGCCGCGCAATAAAATCAAGCTCGAAACAGCACCAAGCCGTCAATGCCCCCAGCCTCCCTGTCAACCACAACCAGCTGCATATTGGCACCGTCTACCCCAACGCGTTGGTGTAAGACCAGGTCAAGTTCCTCGTCTTCGACGGGTGAGCTGAGTTGTGGGCCTTGTGTGGACAGGGTAAACGGCCCTAGCTAACTATTGTATTTAGGGTGATTCGGAGTCAATGAAGAACACAAGCAACGCACCTTACGACAACAACGAGCAAGGTGCTCATGGGATAGCCGGATGCGAGCTGGGTCGAGGGCGGGCTGGAGCACAAGCTTGCGCAGACAGCGAGCGCAAAAGCACTAGAAGTCATTGTAAGTACGTACGGCAAGTTAATGAAGATCATAACGCACCTTTGATCAACGACGACAATGAGCAAGGTGCTAATGGGATAGTCGGGTCGAGGGCGGGCTGGAGCACAAGCTACAGTGAACGCAAAAGCACTGTAAGTGAGGCAAATTATTGAAGAACATAACACACCATTGACCAACAACGACAACGAGCAGGGTGCTCAGCACAAGCTTGCGCAGACAGCGCAAGTGTCGAAGCTAAACACTAGAAGTCGCTGTAAGTGAGGCAAAATCAATGAAGAACATAACGCACCTTTGAGCAACGACGACGATGCTCATGCCCAGGGCCAGTCCAGACAGTGATTAGGCACAAGACCGTCGTCAACAACATGGGCGTTGAGGTGAAAGTGTTCGGCTTCCCGCTGGCCGCCGGCTAACTTGATTCCACAGCCACACCGATCACGCTTGTCAATAACCACCACAACGCTCAAGTCGACGCGCCATCTGCTGCTGCTATGGCCCGTACCACCGCCAACTCTGCAACGCCTCCCGGAGCCCGCTCTGAGTCTCCCAACGACAGATGTCGGGCCGCCGTTTCTGCAACGTGCAAGCTGTCTATCATCGAAATTTTATGCAAACTCAACCAAGACGCTGTTGCATCGCCGTCTCTCTCGCCCCCCACAACCAATAAACGCATCAGCAAACCGAGCCGGCTGGCAGGTGCAAATAATGCCGCGCAAGTTATCGGCAGCCCACTTTTCCGGCCCGCTTTTCCTAGCAAGCCGCAGAATCAACTACAACTCATCAGTATCAACCACGACTTGCCATCTCTCCGGCCAACCATCTCGCTATTGCATCAAACCCAACGACTATAAAGAAGATTGGTCATTGCTTTCGACGTTCTAGACGGCCAATCAAGAAACAACATTTGCTGGCTCAGCGACTAACGAAGACAGCGATTCTAACAAGGGCTGGCAAACCGGGTGAGATGTGGGCAGACTCGGGAAATTTTGAGAGCCTCACTTTCCGGCTGGTGGCCGACAGCAACGACGAGCGCGCCGAGGTTGCTGTTGAGCAACAACTTGAAAGCGGCCTCAACAACGGCAACCCACTTGTTGCGGGCAATATGCCCCGGGCCGATCAGCAAACTCGAATGACAAACCTAGAACGACTCACTAATCCACCCCGAGTCCATCACCGCCTCCCAATAGAACTCAAGACGACGCCGGCCCGTTTTTCTTCAGCATTGTTCTGAAAAGGTTAGTGCTATCAATTTGGTGGACGGCAAACTCACCAAGGCAGCGCTAGCTTAACCAGCAACCAGCTCCAGATTGTGATCATCTCTGCGCATATTTTGCGCCAAGTCTTGTTTCAGGTAAGCTGCCACTATGATATGCAATTCTGACTTACCAGACGTTGTCTAGCATGCAAACCAGCTCATGCCTTGTGTCGGGATGAAGACCAAGGCCGCCAACGCTATGGGCAGAAACCCCAACACTCCCCGGTTGTTATTGTTATCGTCCCCTGACCTCCTGCGTTACCCTCGTTACTGTCTTTCGTGCCGTCTTAAGAGGGTCAGTCGTCGTTCTCAATGTGTTGGATGGCAAACTCACCCAAATATAGGTTTACATCGCGGTCAATCCAGCTCGCCCGTTTCCGCGCTCGTTGAGATGCTGCGTTAGCGGGTCTGACGATATGAAGGTCAATCAGTGGGCTGCTTAAGCTAATTTGTTTGTCGCTACTGGTCAAGGGCAGGGAGCGGCGGCCCTGCTAAACCAAGTCAGTTGACATCACTACCGCCAATGGTTAGCCACACACCCGGACTGCCGTCAACGGCGCTTGCCTCCAAGCCACAGAACCAAGGCAAGCTGCAAATCAAGGTAAGCTGGTTTGTTTGTCGCTACTCCATACTCACCTGGTTCAGAATCTTCGGCGTGTTCGGCGCATTATCCTAACAAGTCAGACAACGACAACAGCTGCAAGCGCTAAAGAACATACCTGGATCGCCTTCAACGGGCGCCAACTCCACAAGTCAAACGGCCCAGCCCGGGGTTGTTGCGGCCTGCAAATCACGGTAAGCTGGTTTGTTTGTCGATGCTCTATACTAGAAAACTCACCTGGTCCAGGTGTCAAACCAGTGAAATACCAAAGTCGGCGCATCATCATCATCGTCCGGGACTGCCGACAATGCTGCTCAACGCCGACAGGTTGAGAGCGGGAAGTGTCGAACTAGCCAAGTACAAGTCATTAGACAGAAATGCAAGAGTTGAGCAACGCACCCTTGTGTGCTGTGAGCAACGATGACAACGAGCAGGTCGAGCGGGAGTGAAGGTGAGAGAAGGGAGGAAAGGGCGATGGAACTTGTCAAGACAAGTCCCAGGGTTTTATACCCACCGTAACGGCATGTTGAGCCGATTCAGAAGCGGAGCGCTGAAGATATCAACGGAGTTGACTTATACGTGATTTCAAGATTCCCGCATATTGAGTGCCGATGTCGGGTGAGATAAAATCGAGCGCAAGGAATTGAAGGAGGGTTGTAGTTTCTGTGTGCCCTACACTTTTCCTGCCTCAGACCTCCCAAGTTTATGCTTGTATTCACACAAGTACAGAAAGTGAGATTTTGCACTGAAAGTACATCGAGCGCGGCGGAGCTCCGATGAAACACCTCCCACGTTAGATCAACCCTGTCGGCAACGGTTGATAGGGAGATCTAGCCAGCTCCGCCGCGCCTAAGTGTCGGAAAGTGAAATAGCACATTTGAGGATTGGAGCAATACCGCATGGTGGGAGAAGCCGTGACGACGAATATGGGCACGGGGGAGGCTTGGAGTGACATGTCACATGTCACCCAAAAAATTCCAAGCCTATCGGCGGGCGCGATGCACGTCTGTTGCATTATCAGTAGAATACATCCCCTGGTGTATCACGTCCATTCATGCTCAGATATAAGTGCGATGAAGCTCTGGATAACATCTAGTGGGTTCGAACATTATTTCCCACGCCTGTCCGTACC